ATCACACACACCACTAGTAACATATATCCATCCAACACAATATCTATACTTCTTGCTGTCAATTCCTTTATAAAAAGAAAGGCTCTGTGACAGTTCTGTTTGACTACCTTAGATGCTTCTGGTGCTGCTGGTGCTATTGCTGTTGTGTCACCTATGTTATTTTCACCTGCCATCATTTACAGTGGTGGACTGAGTCAAGGCTATAGGGGAGGAGGAGGCCTTACTGGGGCCATGTTGTGCAGAGGCCCCAGCACCAGGAAGGGTGCACTTGAATATACACACAGTGTCACCCATCCATGTCACGAGTTTTGCCTGCCTGCGGCCAGAAGTGCAGGGTCTCAGAACCCAGAGTCCCACTGCACCTATCTTCTTGAGATCTGGCAGGCTTTGTGGCCACATCAGGGCCTGGCAGGCCTGCAGTAGTTTTTTTTCACCACCCTGTGCCCTAAGACGAATACAGCTGGCAGGCTTCATGGCCCCAGCAGGGCCTTAGCAGCAGTTTTCCCCCCACAAACAGACAGACACAGTTGCACAAGCACCCATGTCATGAGTTTTGCCTGTCAACAGCCAGAGGTGCAGCACCCCAGATCCCAGAGCCCCCCTGCACCTATCTCCTTGAGAGCCAGCAGGCTTTGTGGCCACAGCAGGGCCTAGCAGCCAGACCTGCAGTCGTCCCCCCCCCCCCCAAAAAAAAAGACAAACACAGATGCACAAGCACCCATGTAACGAGTTTTCATAGTTTCATAGTTTCATGGTTGGTAGAGTCAGAAGGGACCTGAGCAGATCATCAAATCGAATCCCAGGATGCTGGGGACAAACAACCCCGGCTAGGTGATTATCCAGCCTCCTTTTGAAGACCCCTAGGGTAGGAGCCAGCACCACTTCCCTTGGAAGTTGGTTCCAGATCCTAGCCGCCCTGACTGTGAAGTAGTGCCTCCTGATGTCTAGCCTGAACCTACTCTTAATCAACTTATGGCCATTATTCCTTGTTACTTCGGGTAGTGCTTGAGGGAACAGGGACTCTCCCATTGCCTGCTGGTCCCCCTTGGAAAGTTTATAGATGGCCACCAGATCCCCCCTCAGCCTTCTCTTGCGGAGGCTGAACAGGTTCAGGTCCCATAGCCTCTCCTCATAGGGCCTGCCCTGCTGCCACCGACCATGCAAGTGGCCCTCCTTTGGGCCCTCTCATTGGTGTTCACATCCCTCCTGAAGTGCGGCGCCCAGAACTGGATGCAGTACTCCAACTGCGGCCTGACCAATGTCACATAGAGGGGGAGGATCACCTCCTTGGATCTGCTTGTGATGCATCTGTGGATGCATGACAAGATGCAGTTAACCTTCCTGACCGTGTCCTCACATTGGCAGTCCATGTTCATCTTGGAGTCAATAGTGACTCCAAGATCCTTTTCTGCCTCTGTACAGACGAGAAGGGAGTTCCCCAGCCTGTAGGTATGCTGCTGGTTCTTCCTCCCCAGGTGTAGTACCTTGCACTTGTCAGTACTGAAACCCATTCTATTCTCATCCGTCCACCTCTGTAACCTGTCCAGATCTAGTTGAAGCCTCTCCCTCTCTTCTAGCATGCCCACTTCTCCCCACATCTTAGTGTCAACTGCGAATTTAAACAAGGTGCTTTTCACCCCCTCGTCCAAGTCGCTGATGAAGATGTTGAACAGTGCGGGCCCGAAGACCACGCCCTGGGGAACCCCACTGCCCACATCCCTCCAGGTTGAAAATGACCCGTCCACCACCACTCTCTGGGTGTGGCCCTCCAGCCAATTTGCGACCCATCTGACTGTGTACGTGTCAACTGCCTACATTGACTGTAGGCTGTTTTGCCTGTCAACAGCCAGAGGTGCAGGGCCCCAGAGCCCAGAGTCCCCCTACACCTATCTCCTTGAGAGGTGGCAGGCTTTGTGGCCGCAGCAGGGCCTAGCAGGCCTGCAGTTTTGACCCTGCTGTGGCTTAACACATAGAAGTGACAGGGGTTTTGCTGTCAAGACTTTGGGGTGCAATTTCTCCGAACCCCCTGCACTTACCTCCTTGAAACTTGGTAGGCTTCATGCCCTCAGAAAGGGCTACCATTCTTCAAAATCAGGCCAGAAGTGACAAAATTATAGCCTGTTTCGACCTTCCCCATTATATCCTATAGGCGAAACATCGAAACAGGCTCGAAATGCAAAACTGTTTTGATGGAACGATACGGAACAGCCATTTTTTACTTGAAACAAAAGTCGAAACGGAACGCTGTTCCGCTGAACCATCGAAACGGTGGTTGAAATGGAACGTTTCCATTTCGCACAGCCCTACTGCCTGGTGCAGCAGTTTAGGAGCTAACGTTGCCTGTGAAGACTGAGGTGAAAAAGGCATCGAGTACTTCAGCCTTTTGTGTATTCTCTGTCACTAGGTTGTCTCCCTCATTGAGTAAGGGACCCACACTTTCCCTGATCTTCCTCTTGTTACTGACATACTGGTAGGGAAGAGGAAATCGGGGCAGCCTGAGGCTGTGGGGGTGGGGGCAGGCACAATAAGAGGTAAGTGGGGGGGGCAGGCAGCAGGGGAAAGCTGCCTGCCTCTCTCACTGCCTGTCTCTTACCACCTGACCCCCACTGCCTATCCCATTATTGCCTCCCACCTGCCCTATCACATGCCCCCCATACTGCCTCCCCTATTGTTTGCCCCCCTGTGACCTGCCCCATTACTGCCCTCCTCATCAACACTCCCCCCACCTCCTGCAGTAGTTGGGAGGGGGAACAGAGACAAATTTAAAAGGATTCTTGAATAATCAGATTCCATTCATGGAAAATTATAATAAATTTATAAATTTTCCATGTGTAGAATCTAATTATTGGGAGGTTGTCTTAAATTCAGGGTCATCTTGTATTAGAGTAAATATGATAATAATAAATGACAGTGTTTAAAAACTCAAAGCAGGATCCAGCCCAACTGTACATGCCATGCAAACACTAGGGAAAAGATGATCCCTGCACTAGCTGGCTAATTAAGACAAAAGTCAAGAAGTAAGACAAATAGGGAAGTGTATATGACAGAAATAAAACACAAGCTATCTGCCTGTAACTTGTCATTTTGGTCCTAATATAAAAAGGGACTTACAGCTTTGCATACAGAAAGAGGGGCTGTCCGGTTTATAGTGAGCTGGGGCATGCTAACTGTAGTTTACCAGCTGGTAAGTTTTAACCGCTATAGTAGAAATCATTGCCTCCGCATAGCAGGGGCTTTTTCTATATTAAGCATTCAGTATTCGGCAACCAAATCAAGGCTTCTTCATACCACAGCTGAATCCTAAGCAGTCTGAGTTGTTTTTTTTTTTTTTGGGGGGGGGGGGGGGTTCTTTTTTTCTAGCAGCACATTGTGAAACACATAATAGCAGAAAATTCTGGAAACAAGCGCAGCTCTCTAACCTGGGATAAAACCTCACAAAACTCTTAAGATTCCTTTCTGGCCACCCCATGACTCATTTCTTTTTGGACTATGCAGCACTATTTTGAAATGCCAGGGCTCCAGTATGCAGCCCCCGCTCCAAAAACCAGCTCGCCTTGCCATTCAAAAACACATGGCTATCTGAAAATTTTCCCACCAATGACTGTTACCATTCAGCTTAATGAGGAAAGACTGACTGCTAAGGCTGTTGTGACACAGGGGTTTGCAGCTATTAAGAATGTACTGGCACTGCCAGTCCTCAGGCAGTCATTGACGGTTTTTCACAGATGAGGTTTCCATTTGCCTTGGGCAGCTGATGGGTTCCATCAGTATTTTGCAATAGGGTTTCAACTCATAAAGACAAAGGCATATTCTGCTTTTCTCAGTGGCCTAACTGATCCCTATGGGAGGTTTACTGGAGGAGTGGTCTAGAAAGATTTATGATAGTGACATTTTTAAGAACTTGGAAGTCTTATTTAAAGAACAGCAGATGTGATAGCATCGGACATTAATAGTACTGGCATTTTCTTTCTTATTCTGGAGACGTAGTTCATCACTCTACCATTCTAGCCAATGCAGCAATTTATTGGTCAGTTGGACTATAGCGGAGAGCTCTTTAAGTATAACCCCAGGAGCTGCAGGATGACAATGACACATGCACTTGGGAGAATAAAAGGGGGAAAGCAAATCTCTCATGATTAGTTCAGAGACTGCTGAGAAATATCTGCCTCAAATTATGACTGCACACTGTTATGCATGTGTACTAACAAGAGAGAGAGAGCTCACAAGGGGCTGGGAGGAGGAGGCTGCGACACTTTCAGAGTGATATAAGCAAGCCAACAATATGGCCCCAGCAAAGAGATAATCATCAGATGTGATCAGGAACGTTTTCTGAGTTCCTAATTTGAAAGTTGCTTTTTGGTTGAGATGAATATCAAATATCAGTGAATATAGCTTTTCCTCATGTTTTGCATGTTTTTTCATAACATATTTAAAAGACTATTTTAAGTATAGTGAGTGTGATTTTACTTTATGGGGATTTTTCTGTGTAACTTTTTATGAAGAGTTTTAAATGTCAGAACTGAGTTTTCCCTGTATGAGATACGACTGTGTTCTCATTTTTGTTATGTTTCTTATTGTAAAATTTAATCTGCTGAATCATAATTTTTAAGTATGAAGATGCTGATACCAGATTTGGAAACCAGTTTTATGCAACTGGTGCAAGTTTATTAAGAAACTTTTTGAAACATCTGTATCCCAGGGATACCCAGGGTTTGCCCTGTCCTCCGATGCCAGTGGTGGTGGTCAGGCAAAATACTAAGGAAGGGGTCAGCTACTACAGCGGCTTCCTCCCCTCCCTATAGAGCTAGGCCAAAACCAAATACTTAACTATGTACAATTTATTACAAGAATAAATACAGACACTCAATATAAAACATAGAATATTTACAAGGCTTAACATATAATACTATATATAATATTCCACAATTCACATATAATACCAAATATGAACCAAAAAACTTACAACCTATAGAACACAATTAACACATAGGGATATTAACCTGTTCAGTTTTCATAGCATCAAAAATAATATTTCTCCTCTCAATTCTGAGACCTTTGCAGCAGCTCTAGCTGGGTGTCGGAGAAATGAGAAAGTACCACAATCCAGTAATGTAAGCAACAGTGTGCTTATACTGACTCCAGCAGCAGACAGTCACAAATGGATGGATCCCGGCCACATGCCAGAACAGGGAAAATGACAGCTGCTCACCATGACCCACAGCAGTAAAGGACACAGGAGTAAATAGACTGATCTGTCCTGATAGGATGGCAAAGGAGCATGACTTGACAGATGGAGGATGGCCAAAAGATGCACAGTACAGATGGGCCCACATGAACATTAATGTTTATTAATAAATGCAGTGAATTGACTATGCTTTCAAACTGGAGAATAGAATGCACGTTACTTTGCAGGTTAATAAATATTAAGAGCTGCATAATGGAAATGTGTGTCACTGAACTGTGCAACAACTCATTTATTTCATGTAGCATGAACTAAACCCCCTCTATTCCTTGCAGAAGAGTCCTTTGAGCTTAACTGTTACTTTTAATATCCAAATCCAACACTTAGGTGCTACCAAGACCCACAAAACCCTTTTTAGTTCCTCCCTAAACCTGTAAGCACCACATGTCCTTAGGCATTTCTGCTTATAGGCAGGTATGAAACCACAAAGTCCTGATACTACTAAGCTCACTGGCACCTAAGCTTCACCTGGATTCTTAAACTGGGCCTTCTTACATCCACCTCATCAATGGTACCCATGCTATGTGAATGTTTATCAGATCAGGCCTCTCACATAAAATAAGTCAGACTTGTTAAGGGGCCTATGTTCCCTATTCTTCTCAATATTCCAGTAGAACGGGTACTCGTCCAAGAAGCAGGAGACCCTCTGTCTAATTTGTAATAGGGGTTTGAATCCAGGTTTTTCACAAGCCAGAAAAGTACCATAACCAATCATGCAATTGGGTATTCTGTGCTACCTCTTGCCCAATTTCTCTTGTTTGAAGCTATTCCACTTAGTATAAACTATATATTCAGGGACTAGTGCTGAGAAAGAGGGCTGGGGGAAAGGGGAAGAAAGACTGATTCTACAGCTGACAGGCAATTAGTACACTTCCTGAAGTCCAATGATTATTATCTACAAACTGGAACAGCTTCAACGTGACAGACTGAGAAAGACCTGCCCCAAATATCCAACAGCTTCATGGTTATGGCAGGTCTTCCTGAGACACAGGAGACCTGGATGCATGTCTCTACTACAAATCCAGCATAGCAGAAGGAAGAGCAGGATTCAGAATTAGAACAACAAGAGCTGGATGTGTGTGTGTGTGGAGGGGGCCGGGGGGAAGGAGTGGAAACTTGACAAAAGAAATTGAGGATTATAACTCTTCAAAAGTTATTTTGCATTCAATTCACCCAATCTGTCAGGAAACCACTCCACATAATTATTGAATTATACAAAATTTCTAAATTTCTTTGTTAGTTACATATCTCTAAACTTTGATAATTGTGCCACATGTTGTTTTATCTTTTCGACTATTCTTGAGAGATTTGGTACAGGTGATAGACGGGATCTTAATACTACTCATTATTCTCCTGTTTCACATTTTGCTATGTTATTTTTTTATTCTTTTTGCGTATTAAATATGCACAGCATCAGCATGGTTCCAAGTACCAGAAGCCTGCCAACACCAGGACTACATCCATTAAAAACTCATCAGCAGGATTATGACCCCGTAACAAGATTCATCAGACATGCCAACTTTAAGGGGACACAAAGGTGATTGTTTCAATTGCTTTAATCACATTTCTGACATTTCTTCTAAGCGTTTGCCTTGATTTTTAAAATCCTTCTTAAATATGTAGACTTAAGGAAGGAGAAAACAGTATGAGGTTCCCAGAGAATATCCAGCGACGTGAGACAACCAGGAAAGAAGGCCCCCTCTCCCAGGCCTATTCCTAAGTGGGTTAGGCTAAGAACAGCACAAACTCCTGTGCATTACTCTGACTTCCTATGTTTCCAATACACTAAAGGTAGCCGATTCTCAAAGAAACTGGCAGAGGAACAGAATAGCCTTTGCCACCTGCAGTTCAGGCTATTGCAATGTACTCCCCATATGGCTACCTTTAAAGATCACTAGGATGCTTATGCCAACACAGAATGTGACCACCTGTCATTAAAGTACATTAAGCTAACATCCTGCCAGATCTCTAGGCTAAGATGACATGCCAGAACCTCATACTGTGTTATCCTTCCTCAAGTCTACAGAGGGCAAAACCTGCACAAAAAAGTTAAACTTAAGACTCTTAGAAAGCAAACTCAATGAATGTATGTTTCTCCATATAAAAACATGAAATTTGAATGCTTTTCCTTCAGTAGAATGAACTGACCATGAAACCTTCTAGGGTATTCAATTCTCTTAACAAGCAATTTTCTCCATTCAGAAACAGGGGAATTTAATCAATAGAATTTGAAAGAAAAAAAGAAGTGGAAAACCAGAAAGAGAAAAGAACAGAAGATGCACCCAGAGAGAGAAAAACTTGAAAGGCTTATTTACCAAGCCTGATCAAGTGGGCAGAACAGTTAAGACATCTAACTAAAGGTCAGATGCATTAGGTTGAGCTCAATCCAACTCATATTGAAGGCTTTCCTCAAAGATCCAATGAATACCTGGTGTCAAAAACAGCTCTCCAACCAACTGTCCCATCATTTCCTTATGAGCCTCTGGCTTCAGATACTGGAAGATCATAACCAAGCTAGCCGTAATGGGCAGGGGCATCCCATGGGACTTGTGAAAGACTGACATAAAGTGCCCATTTAGTAAGTTGGCTTTTTCCTGGGCGTCGGTCGTCAGTTCTCCGTTCTGGTTTAGCAGGGGTCCAATGTTGCCCTTGCTTTTCCTCCAGCTCCCCACATATCTAAAAAAGGACTTTTTATTGTCCTTGATACTTGTAGCCAGTTGAAGTTCAGTTGCAGCCTTGCCTTTCCTGGTTCGCTCCCTACAGGTCCGGACCAGTGCAGTATATTCCTCCTTGGAGGTGGATCCCGTACTCCATCCTTTGTAAATCTGTCTTTTTAGATGCAGGAGGACCACTAGTTCCTTGTTAAGCCAAGAGGCCTGCTGTGCCCTCTTGCTGCCTTTCCTCTGAGACAGAATAGCCTTAGCTTGTGCATCTAGGATTGCTCCCTTGAGGAGCAACCACTCTTCCTGGACTCCCCTCCCCTTGTGGTTGTGGCCCCTTAGGGCCTCACCGACAAGTCTCCTGAGCTTGTCAAAGTCAGCCCTCCTGAAGTCAAGGACCTCTGTACTGCTGACTAACTTGACAGCTTTTCGGCAAATGGTGAAGGTGATCAGCTCGTGGTCGCTGTCACCCAGCTTCTCTTCGATTGTTCAGTCACTGATTAGGTCACCCCCGTTGTCAGTACCAGGTCTAGCAGTGCTTTGCCTCTTGTTGGCCCGTAGACTTCTTGAGTCAGATAGAGCTCATCCATGCACGTGAGGAAGCTTTGCAACTGTTCAGATTTGGCCGAGCGCTGTTCCCACGAGATGTCCGGGTAGTTGAAGTCTCCCATGACAACCATGAAACAGGAGTGTGCGGCCTCAGCCAATTCCCTGGCAAACTCCTGGTCAATCTCTTGATTCTGGGAGGGAGGTCTGTAATAGACTCCCACCATTGTATCCCCTGTGTCATGTTCCCCATGGATTTTAACCCAGAGGGTCTCTAGTCATCTACCCTGGGTGCTGATGTCAGCTTGCAGAAACACATAGCTCTCCTTGACATAAAGAGCTACACCTCTGCCCCTTTTGTCCACTCAATCCCTCCTGTACAGGGTATAGCCATTTATACCCATGGTCCAGTCATGGGTGGAATCTCACCAGGTCTCCGTTATCCCTATGACATCGTAATTGTTTGTGTTGAGCAGGAGGACAAGTTCCTCCTGTTTATTCCCCAAGCTCCTGGCATTGATGTACAGGCATGCAAGTGTCCCCTTGGGGGCCCTTGCCTTGCTCACAGCTCGCTCTAGGGCATGGCGGGGGGGCTCCTTTAAGTGCCTTGACCTGCTGGCTTTGCAAGGGTTGCTCAGTGGGCCAGCAGTGGCAGTAGTCCCCCCGTCTCCCGGCAGGCTTAGTTTAAAGCCCGGTGGAGCAGGTCAGCCAGTCTGGCTGAGAAGAGCCTCCTCCCCAGTGGAGAGAGGTGGAGGCCATCCCTTCCCAGCAGCTCACTGCCTCTCTCACCAAAGAGCAGACTGTGGTCATGAAAGCCAAAGCCTTTCCGATGACACCAGTGCTACAGTCTTTGTTTCACTACCTGGATCCTCCTCTCCCTCCTCAGCCCATAGCCCAAAACCGGAAGGATCGAGGAAAGTACCACCTGCGCACCCAACCCCTTAAGCCCCGCTCCCAAATCCCTGTAGCACTTCATGACCCATCTGGGAGGGTTCCGAGCATGTCATTGGTGCCCACGTGGATAAGGAGCATATGGTAGTGGTCAGTGGGCTGGAGGAGTTTAGGGATCTTCTCTGCAATGTCTCGGATACGGGCTCCCGGGGAGCAGCAGACTTCCCAGGCCAAGGGGTCGGGGCAGCATATTGCCCCCTCCCTCCCCCTGAGGATGGAGTCTCCCAAGACAAACACTTTGCGTTTTGTCTTAAGGAGAGTGGGGGCGGTAGCTATAGTTGAGCCTGTGTTGCTTGCAGGAGCTGGCAACTTAGCAGGCTCTGCTGGGGCTGCAAGAGGTTCGTACCTGTTGCAAAGCTCCAGCAGGGCAGGGACCTTGGTGCGGCGGACCTTGGGGCTCTAGACCATCCTGGTCCAACCCCTGGGCTGGACAGAATGGGAGATCCCCTTGTCCTGGAGGGATACCATGGTCTACCCTCCATCTCCCAGGGAAGAGGGGCCTGGCAGTAGGAGTTGATCTCCTGCTCACAGTCCCTGATGGCATGCAGTCTCTGGACTGAGGCCTGGAGCTCCTCCAGCTGGTGCGCCAGAGACCCCAAAAGGGCGCAGACCTAACAAGGGGAGGTGGCCATGCTCCTAGGCCCCAGAGCTTGAAAAAGTGACAGGCAGCCCCCGCAGCCAAGAGCCAGGGGCTCTGTCTGCGTAGAGCCTGGAACCATGGGCTCCATCTGGGTGGAGGCCTCTGAGGTGCCAGAGGGGGGCTGCAGACCCTGAGGGGACCCTCAGGGTGCAGCACGTGCCCATCCGTGTCATGCTGCTGGTGGGCTGGCTACAGCTGGGAATGCTTACCCAACGGGGTGCGCAGGCAGGGGCCTCGGGCCCTCCCACTCGCCCTCCTGCGCAAACTCCACGCTAACTTACGCACTGGGCAGACAAATGCACCTGTTTGCACAGCCTGGTCGCCCAGCTCCCTGGGGGGCTGGGCGAAGTAGGGGCTGGGGCAGGGTGAGATCCTCCCCAGTTCCTGCTTAGCCGCCTCCCTGCAGCTGAACTGGGATAGTCCCCTCCACCATGGGCCCCGCTTACCTACGGCTGCTGCTGGGAGTCAGCAAAGGGGCTCCGGGGCAGCTGGGGGTCACTGGGGGGCTTCAGGGTGCAGGGGCACAATGGGATTTTACCAGTGCATCTCGCGCTGCTCCCTAAGTCTCTCTGGGGCTTTTTTCCTTTGGTGGACCCTTTTAAACTCTGTGCATGCTCAGTGGGCCCGCCTCCAGCACCTGTCTACTCCTGGGCAAGGGGGGGGCCTGCCTGGGATTTGGGGGACCTTGCCTGCCTGGAGAGGGGTCGGTGAGTACCCCCTCCCCTATTAATTTATATTAGTTTTTAACCCAATGTACTTCAATTTCTGCAAAAATTGTGGGTAAACAAGATCTTATGGGCATGTAAAGCATTTGCAGCATGCTGCCTTGATCTTGAGTGGGATCTCTAGGTACTACCCATAATACAAATCAGCTTGACCTTAGACTGGTCAAGTTATTTAAAGAAGTCACTACTGGCACCTTTATTACATCATCCTGGTGCAGCTAACCATAATATGATCACCTCCATCATTTCTTGCTGGTATACAGAAGCTATGAGAAAGCCTGAGACCAGTTAAATATATATTAAAAGCTGAAATGTGTTTGTCAAATAAAACTTTGTTTCTCTAGAGTTACAAACTTTGTGAATGTACTCAAGTTCCATGTCTCACTCTCTGCTTCAGATTTAAACACGAGGTACAAACAACTCCTTTAGTTTATTTTCCTATTGCCTAAAGGCATCAACAGTCACAACACACTTATTATTATAAGTGTGTGCTTCATTTGTGAAAGGCATTGAAAAATTATTCTACTGCTATATTCAATTAATAAATAAAAATATGTATAATTCTCTCAAGATTTCTGGCTTTTCTCTCATACTTCACTGTTGGGTGATACATATTCATATGGTATGCAATGTCACTTTGCATATGCATACATGCACAGGCTCTGAGGTTTCAAAGCACATCCAAAAAAACATAAACATAAGAAATAATAAAGAACAGTTTTTTGGGAAGAGTTTTGGTACCCTATGGAAAAGGTTGACAGCAAAGGGATGGGTTAGAAGC